AAACCATTAGAAGCGCCTTACGAAGGTCCATACGAAATTATACAAAGAATTACAGATAATATTTTCAAAATTAACTATAAAGGAAAACATATAAATGTATCTATAGAAAGACTAAAACCAGCGTTCGTCGAAAAAGATTGCAATACCGATTCGTATGTAATAACTTATAATATATATAACTTAGTAAGTTAGGATAGAGATAGTGCAATATTTTTATATATCTTTATATTTTTATATACTTGTAAATATCTATAATTTTAAGTTTCGCATTTTATGTAATAAGGAAAATGCTCCGAAGGGAGTAATGTAGCGGTACGACCGATGGTCGCGCCCTCTAAAGTTACTAGAAGGCTAGGGGACCACGCTAACAAGTAGTGGTCACCAGACTAGCACAGTCTGTGCGTAGCCGTTGAGAAGTGTACAAGAAAGAAAAGCAAGTCGCATCCTAACAGTAAAAATCATAAAATAAAATTCAGTCTAATATTATCTTTACTATAGAGAAACCCTCTACACAGATTTTCCAACAGGTGAATCATCATGTTCTGGTACTATTCCGTCCACTAAACAAACTCCACCGGATAATGCACACGAGGTCGTCTACACAGTAAATCTGCAACTACCTCAGTTCAATCACAAGTCACTGGATCTATGGTTCGCAATAGCCAAGGCGGATTTCGGTGCAAATCGTATAACAAGTGATGCACAAAAATACGTCCAACTCCTCAAAGCTTTACCCTATCAAATTGCAGAACAGTTACAGGACATTGTTAACAATCCACCCGCACACGATAAGTAAAAAACTTTTAAAAACACAATTCTTGAACGTTTTTCCCTATCACGAAAAAAACAGTTGCAGAAACTTTTAAATGAAAGGGTTGTTGGTGATAAACGACCCTCACAACTGTTACGCGAAATGAGAGTACTAGCTCAGGATTCTGTGCAGGAGGACGTGCTTCACCAACTCTGGACCGAACGTCTCCCACCTAAAATACGTCCGTTGCTAATAATATCAGAAAATCTAGGTCTCAACGARCTTGCTGTAATGGCAGACAGACTTGTGGATAACTTGGACTTACTTCCGGTAATGGCTGTACATGGTGCAGATACAACCGGTCACGACAAGCACTCCGGTAGCATAACAACTCCACAAACAGAACGACAGTTACTAGAAATCAACACTGCTTTAAAAGACTGCCAAAATTGTTTAGCCAACCTACAAGTAAGTCAACAGCTCATTCAAAAACAACTGTATGAGATGCAGTCTCAGCAGCARCAACAACAACAGAACATAAACCAACTACAAAACTCATTACGATACGAAAACCGTGCACGTTCGAGACGGAGATCACTAGCACCTAACCGCAACGGCACTTGTTACTACCACACAAAATGGGGTAACGACGCTCACCGATGCACGCTTCCTTGCAACTTCAAGTCCTCAGCCAACAACCAGGGAAACTAGACACGCTGTCAACGATTGGGGCAGTAGGTGACGGCCAAAACAACGGACTGCCCACAGAACTGCGTCTACACATTTATGATCACAGAACCAACCAAAAATTCCTCATAGATTCGGGATCGGTGGTATCAATCATTCCAACTTCTTCTTTAAAACA